GACATGTTTAGTTTAATATCATTTTCTCTTTTCTATTTATTATATTTTTTGGTGTTGATATTTTTTTATATAATTAATTTATTTTAGAATATTATTTTGATTTTTTTCATTTAAATATATTTTTATTATTTTTAAATATATAATTTTTTTTAAATTATAACATTTTTATTTTCTTTTATTTGATGATATTAAAAGAATGATTAAAAAAATCTTTTTTATGTATAATTATAAGTATAAATGGTTATAAAATGCTAGTTTTTTTATTTATTTTAACCTTATAAATAACATAAATGATCTGCTTTACAATTTAAAATATTTTCAAAGGTGAGATGAAACATTTTTTTATCATTTATTTGAATAAAACATTTTTTTCAACTGCAAAACTTTTTGTACACTTTTAGTTTCATCAAAATGACAAAAATCGAATCATAATGTGGTAAACTTTGAAGATTATGATGATGTACTATGAGAAAAAAAATGTGTATGATGGATGTGGGTTATGCATATCATGATGTAAAAGGACGTTTTGTTAACGAGGAAACAACTCATTTGGAAAGTTTGTAATGATTATTTCTTCCACTTGATTTGGTGTATGGGATGGAGTGTAATTATTTAATTTATCAGCATGTTACTATTTTTAGTTTAAAATCTTAATTTTATGGTTAAAATGTGTGTAATAATTATCTCTTCCACTTGGTTTGGTATGCAAAATAGAGGTAATTATTTACTAATCAATTATATATAAAAATATATTAATATTTTAATATAAAATTTTAATTTTAAGATTTTATTAAATTTATATCATACAAATTATCAATTCTAATATTATAACATGATCATAAATTAATATCATAAAAACTACAATATTATTTTTATTAAAATATTTAAAATATTATATTAATAAAATAGACCTGGTATTTTTGAAAAATAATTTAAAATTACATTAAGAAAAAATATTGTAACTAAAATTAAAATTCGTATAAATATTTTGTATGGATTGAAATGCAAGTCTTTAAAATATTGTTGATAGATATGTAATTAATATAATAGATATTTTAAATATATTTAGGATGTAACGTTGAATAATTTTGAGAAAATAAAACCAAGAAAATATTCATTAATGGATCAATAAATCAATTATATTAAAGAAAATAATATAATTCTAAATCAAAAAATCTTAATTTAATCAAATTGTGATTTTTTTAAAAATTCATATGTTTTTATTTTTAAAATATAATAATATAAGATTTCAATTCACACGTTAATATATAAATTAATTATTGAAAGCATATGATTTTTTATTTTAAAAACTCGTGATTAACATTTAATATATTATTTTTTATTTTTTCTATTATTTCGAATGATCATATTAACCATTTGAGACAATTTAAAAGTTTAGAATAAAGCACTCAAAATAAAGAATTCAATAAAATAAAAATTAGTTAAAAATAATGTCTATAAAAAAAGTTATAATAAAAAAAATAAGAAGAGGTTAAATTATAAAATAAATTATGTTTCATTACAATATGATAAATTATGTATATGTGTCTTAAACTATTAAAATACATGTTATGAACATGAAATGAAGTGTGTTGAATGCTATTATACACCTTAAAAAATATTGTGTTGTGATATGAGAATTACCAAGGGATATTCTTATGTGTGTAATTTTGTACATATAGATATTGATTTCAGATCCGATGAGATATCCTGACTCTACTGATAACTGAAATCACATAAATAAAAAATCAGATGGTGAGAGTTGAAGAAAGTTTCTAATAATTTAGTCTGCTGTGTAAAAAAGAATTATTTTCATAAGTCATTTAGAATTTTACCCTAGGCACAAGTGAATGTATATACCAAATTGAGCACTCTTGTTGTGCACTTGGGGAAGTTGTGGTGTGACTGGTGCAAAAATAAATAAGAGCAAAAAAATTATTTGATAAATAAAAATTGTATTTTATTTTAGTTTTATTAATAATTTATTTAATATTATTTTATTATTTATTATGAAAAAATAAATTTTAAGAAATAAAAATAAATCTCATAATCCATTAGGAAAATGTTTATAACTATACACTAAAGAATGATATAACATAATGATTATGTTATGATTTGTTAGTGTTTTATTGTTAATTTTTTTTTCTTTTCGTAAATTTACAGTAAATGGGAAAAAGATGATCAAATTATTACTTTCTTTTATATATTTTTTATGAAATAAATTTATTTTATAAAATGAACATAATATAATATTTTTAAATAATTGAATAATTATTGTAATATATAACAAGTTTTTCATATAATTAAGAGGTTAAATTAATATTAAACAGAATTTTTAAAATTTTAATTTACTCATAAAAAATTGATTTATACTTTTTTTAGTTAAAGTTAAACATACCATATATGAAAAAATTCCTTATCTCGACAACACCAAAAGATGTGGGGTGGGTCAGCTAATTAGTCCAAAAGTTTATGTCTTGTGAGAGACCCTTTTCACGCTGTGAGGACCATAAAACAAACAAAACAAATTACCTTATGAATATTTTTAAATTTTTTAAAATAATATATATATGAAAATTTAAAACTATTTATAAATAAAAGATGTTATTTTAAGATAAATTTTACTTACATAATTACTAAAAATATATTGAAAAATTTATTTATATAAATATTTTTATATAAAATTTATATTGAAATGATACTTTTTATTTTAATTCTTTTACATTAATTCCTTAAAAAAAAGTCCTTATAGACCCATCTAATCTTTGAAGATAATTTCAGTTGTACATCCTTGCATGTTCTTACATTAATTAATATTATACTCACAAAACTCACACAAATTTGCAAACAAAATAACTATCTGTTATGTAAATATAAGATATTTCTATTCTATACTATAATTTTTGTTTTATTATGAGTAAAGTCGCTTGAAGTACTCTTTCTCAAAATAATTTTTTTATTATTGTTTACTAACTATAATTTCGTATTTTAAAATATTAAATTACACATTTTAAATATAATATTCATTTAACTTTGACCTTTTAAAAATAATGAATTCAGTTTGTTGTATTGACGGAAATATATGAGGAGAATCTCCTATTATCTATCTTATTTTTATGTTATTTAATATAAATTTATTTTAAAATAAAGTTTAAAATAATATTGAAATTTTCTTAATCATAATTATAATAAATATTTTATTAAAAAATAGTGACAAAAATTCAAATTCAAAATATTACACAAGTCTTCTTTAATACAATAATAGTAGAAAAAGCAATCATAAATAAAATTAATTTTAAAATAAAAGGAAAAAGGAAAAAATTAGTTATTTATTACGATGATATAAATGAAAAATGTGATCATCTAAACCAATCTCTTTATATTTAAAAAAAAACATTAAAAAACATTATAAATAAACTTATTTTAAAAAATAAAAAATAGCCTAACACGATTTTTTAACGAAATATGTCAGAGTAGATAAAAGATATTTAAAAATAACTTTTAACTTTTAATAAAACCTGACCATCAGGGAAAAGATATTTAAGAGCAATTTTTTACTCAAGAAAATAACTAAAAGTGAGTTTAAATTTTGAATTAATACCATGTTAAGATAAAATTAATAGAATAGACTAACAAATATTTAAATGATACTGAACAAGGTAACCTGGGACTTTCTCTTTTATTAATAATAGTCAATACATAATATCTCTTTAAATTTTTTTAAAATACTAAATTGTATAATCCAGAGATTGTTAATCGGTTAAAAATAAATAAAGTTGTGTGGAATCTGATATCATAAAAAGAAAATTATGTAATAATAGTGTTAATTTGTATATTTTAAAACTAAAAATACATGTTGTATGGTAGTAGAAGTGGATACGTACATATAGTATAGTTCAGGAAACAGTTGTGGGGTGGTGGAGAGTGAGAATGTGATGCTAGTTTTGGATGTATCTTAAACTCTGATGATGCATTTTCTGTGATTGTTGGTTCCCAGCTGTATCTCTGGACTCTTGTGGTGTCTTCACTTCTCCCCTCCCACAATTTTACTTCTCACCTTCCACCAATCCCTTTAATCAACCTTTAAAATCATCACTCTCACTTTTTATAATTAACTAAAGCTTTTCAACTTATTTTCCCATGAAGTGATCCCAGAGTAAATTCGACCCTACCTTGCTTCTTTCTTTCTTGTCTAGGATTTCATAATTAATAATTATTTTCACCAACTTGTTGCCTTCTGCAGTTCTATAAATTCCTCCCTTCATTCACAGACACTCCTCTTCCTCTTTCTCTCCCTCTTTCCTATCACACTTTCTAGATAGATTTTGGCTAGCCACTGAGATGTATAGATATTTCTTATGCATCTTATGGTCATAGACTGCTCTTCTTTTCTATCAACCCTTTCTTCCACATGTTCTCATACACACTGACTCCTCCTTCCTTGAGTCCCTATATCAAACACCCTTCGTCTGCAACCTCACCATATTCATCTTCCACAACCCCACATAACAAATCTCTTCTCATCCCATTTTTCACCGCCAAAGTCTGAAACTTTTCTCAATTGGGCTGGAGAGATTGACTCAATTTTTTCCTTCTCCCTGACCAGGAAGTAGATTTTAGAAGTGCAAATTAAATGTCCAACATCTTGTTGTTCATGTTTGAGATTCATGTATTCGATTCTCAGTGAACTCTTCTTTTCCGGGTGTATGATCAATTCCACTGTTAGGCGCAGGACCCATTTAGTTCAATCCTTCTCAGTTGCCTTCCTCTATTGGTTGTACTACGTTTCATGATTTCTAACCCTTTCTTTCTATATAATCTATATATCATAAATCCATAATATCTACTACTACTATTTTCATTATCATCATAATATATATAAATCTACAATAATATTCTGAGTTTTTTTTTACGTGTCTAGAGTCTGGGTCCTGCGAACTTTGTTAACCGAGAAGGGTTATATTGTGTTGTATATTTTCTGTTGTGTTGTGTCACATAACATGGCTTCCTCAAGTGGAACATGCTCAGGGTCATCCTCTCTGCTTCAGAACTCAGGTTCTGAGGAGGACTTGCAAGCGGTGATGGATCAGAGAAAGAGGAAGAGGATGATATCAAATCGAGAATCTGCACGGCGATCTCGCATGAGGAAGCAGAAGCACTTGGACGATCTCGTTACGCAAGTAGCACAGCTGAGAAAGGAGAATCAGCAGATACTCACCAGCGTCAACATCACCACGCAACAGTTCTTGAGCGTTGATGCTGAGAACTCAGTGCTGAGGGCTCAAGTGGGAGAGCTCAGCCACAGGTTAGAGTCTCTCAACGAAATCATCGAGGTCCTGAATGCTGGTTTTGGCACCACCACCTTCATTGAACCAACCACCAATAACACCTTCTTCAACCCCTTGAACATGGGGTATCTGAATCACCCCATCATGGCTTCTGCAGACATATTGCAGTACTGAGATATAAAAAAACAAAAAAATGGGGTTGTTGATTTGATGATTTCTTCTTGTGGGTTTGTTTCTGTTGAGGAATTGTAACCACCAGCATATGGTGATAAGGAATAATGAATGTGTATCATAAAAGGGTGGGATTGTTAGGTGCTGGTTCTGTAAATGGGTCCTTTGGAGCATGGAGCATGGGCCACTACTGTATTTGTCACCCTTCTTTCCTATATTAAAATAATATTGACCTAGTTTTAAATGTTATTCTCCCAATCTTTTATCTTTCTTTATTCAATGCTTTATGCAAGTTATCGGTGAAAGATACCTTATACCTTTAAACAACCTTGTTAATACTGCTATATTTACTGATTAAAAGAGAATAATCTCTTGATCTCATCTTTCTTTACATGTTGAAATGGGTTTTAGTCTGACTAAATTCAAAATGGAAGACAAATTTCTTGAATGGATGAGAAAGTGGACAAAGTTGAATTCATTACAAGCAACAGTAGCTTCCCTTGAATCTGGACATAGATGATTGGTGAAATAGTCTCATCATCATCAAGTCTGTCTCCTCTGTTTTAACTGTGGCGTTTTTCTAAAGATTCTTCTCTGTTCTTAAGATTAGTTCATATTTATCTTTCTTTAATAATTAAATATTATTAATTATTGTATTTTATATTTAAGGTATTACTTTCACATTAGATGAGAATAATTTCTTTCAACACCTTCATGAGCATTGATTGACACGAAGTGACGAGAAGCAGGTTAAGTTGAAACGCAACTTTCCACCCATTGCATCCATGAAGTTGATTGTTATGATGACTATATTTACAATGGTTAAGCTTTCATATTTTAAATTTCAAATGCACGTTAAAAAATAAGTCTTTTAAAAATTCAAAACAATATGGATTTATATTTAACTCGATTTTACCCAAAATCAATAACACTATTAGAATTAACTTTCCTTTTTTGTTACATATTTTATTCACTAATTTTTTACATAAAAAGTGCTAGGAGGATTAATTTTTTTATTATTCAAACAATTTATATATATATATATATATATATATATATATATATTAAGTTTTTCAATGATCAAATATTAAAAATGAGTTTAAACAAGACACTTATCATACAAGAAAATGAAATGATTCTTCATTGTGATGTTGACACTCTCCGTAAGAGAAAACAAATAAAATGATGACTATTCATAAAACTTTATATGCCATTTCCTTTATTTTACTATTTCTATATATATATATATATATATATATATATATATATATATTAATTACTTTTTCTTTTACTTATATTTTTTTATTTTTTTATAAAATAAGATTAATTAAAAAAGTTAGATTTTAATTCTAATAATTTGTTAAATTTTAAATAAAATCAATTAATAATATATTGAATAGTTTAACAAATATTTAAATTATATTACAGAATATAAAATAGATGGTGTGAGATTTTAACAAAATTTAAAGAATATTTTGATATATTTAATTTAATTATATAAAATTAATTTTTAAAAAATAAAATATTTATATATTATAATATTTTCATAATATTATTTAATTTAATTATGTTAAACTAAAGCTAATGAATAGGAAGCAACGAATAGGTAGGTTTATAAATCGAGAAAAGAGATTACTAGAATTGTGTTAGTATTTTCCAGAGTTGTCATGAAATGTGTGGAAGTACATATCTTGATTGCAAAAAAAAGTGGAAAAAACAGCAGAAAAAGGAAAAAAACTGTCCTTCAAATCAGAAATGTCCACTGAACATGTGTATGTATGTATGCTTGCCTCCAACTCCCAACAATCATTATTGTAATAGCCATAGGTTAGGTTTGGTTACGAATTTGAAGATTTTGGAAAATTTAAGATATAATTAAATTATCTGTAAGCTATAATAATATATAATAATAAAGATTTTTTTTCATTTGTTAATATTTGGTTTATTCTACCTTTTTATTTATTTTTTTAATTATATATTTTATTTATTTTCTCTAATATAATTAATAAAAATATAATTTCTTTTTCTTCTCAAAACATCCTTAATTATACAGTGTTTTCCATTTTTTCTTTCTCATCTTAAATGGTAATAAAAAATAAGGACAGGTATGAATATTTATAATCTGAATTTAGAAGATAGAGATAAGAATCTCTCAGCTTTATGCAAGACCATTAGGCTCTTTCAGTTTAGATTTCACTTTGTTTGTCTAAGGAAACACAGTCATGTTATTATAACGAGTTTAACGGTAAAAAAGATAAAGTGTGAAAAAAAATGATGAATTGAAAGAAAGTGAGAACAAAAACTGAAGGTAATTGAAAGGTGTGGAACTTATTGGAAAAAGAAACACATGTTTTAAGGAGAGAGGATTCTGGGGGCGCCCATGTTGTAGGGTACAAGACCCACGTGCAAGGAACCAACTAAGTTTTCAGGAAGAATCTAAGGACATGGAATTAAGTTAACAGGAAACTCAGAACTTTGAAACCCCCAAAAAATATGGTTCAGTACTCAAACACATGGTTTTGTACATGTTATTTTCTCCCCTGTCTTATATGTTTATATGTGTAAATAAAATATTAAAAACTCATTAAATATCTAATTATATTTTTAAAATAAAATTATATAATAATCTTTATTATTATTTTTTCATATGATAATTAAAATGAGTTAAGATTTTAAATAATTAAATTGGAAAAATAATATGTTAAAAACCAATTCTTTTAACTTTTATTTTAGAAATAAATAAATTTCTCTATATAAAAAATATAATTTTATTTTATAAATTGATTTTATAAAATTAAAATAGTTTTATCTTTACTTTCATATAAATAATACCATAACCTATCTTGATAATTATTTAAACATTTATATCAATTACCATTTATATCAATTACTATTGTACACCTATGTTTTGGATTAAAGGCATTAAATATGTCTATTAGATTAAAGATTTTTTTTAATCTTTCTTATTTAATAGTTTTTTCATTTAACAATTTTCATACATAATTAAATTTAAATTTCCTACTATATGCAAAATATATAACTTGTGAAACCATGATGTTAAATGTTAAACATAGTTAAAATTCAAATACAAACTACAAATAATTAAATAAGTTATAATAATTTCACGATAATCAATCAATGGAGAAGGGTAACATGGTTTGCATATGTTGTTAAGTTCCACGAGACTTGCAGACAGAATATTCTCGTCTTTCGAGTTTGTGGCAAAAGAAAATTCTATTTTAATGAAGGAAGTGATGAAAAAAAAATTTGATTGAATTAAGAAAAATGATAAAAAGGAATGAGAAATTAAATATATTAATTTATTAATAATAATTTTATTTATAATTTTAATATTTTATTATAATAATAATAATAATAATTAAATAATTATTAATCACATTTTTTTCATAAATAATCAATTATATTAAAAAACACAGTGTATTTAGATTAAAGAAAAATATAAATCTAATGAAAAATAAAATATATTTATTTATTATTAATTATTTTATTTACTATTTAAATATAAATTTTCAAATTATTTTATTATAATAATAATAATAATAAAATTTTATTATTTTTAAAATAATCTATTTTATTATTATACATAATTGATTATATGTTGATTATGTCTCCCGATTATATAAATCTTTACTTGTTATAAGAATATAACTAATTACGTCCTACTTTTTTTTACCTGATAAAGGGATGTTAAAAAATTATTTTAATTTTATAACTTTCCTATATTAAAATGCGTAAAATTACCACATTTCTCTATCTCGTATATTTCCGTCATGGAAAACAGACAGAAAAAATGAATTAATTAAAGTATGTTATACCTTATAGGTAATTTAATTTATTTTTGAATTATATATATATATATATATATATATATATATATATATATTGTTTTAATTTTTAATTAAATATTTAAATAATTCTCTTTGAAGATATCCTAACTACATTTTTTTCATATTAAAAACTTTCAATAAATAAGTTTGAAAAAAAAACTTTCAATTAAATAGAATCACTCCACTATCTTTAATCTATTACTTGATTCAAACCAAGTTTAAGTATAAAAGCCTTAGAAAGAATTTATAGAATTTGCAAGTCTGAAAAGATATTAAAAAAATAAAATATTTTATTCTTAATATATAGATTTTTCAAATCTTAACTAAACATATTTTATTTTTCACAAATTTTAAAATTCTTTATTCTCTAATTTTCAAAAAAATCCACATCCTTACCATTTATGTTACTAATAAATCTTGTAATATTTTATCTAAAAGTGTAATTTTTTATATATTTATCTTTTAAAATATTTAAATTCTTTTATAAAGTCACACCTAGCAGTATTATTAATATTTTTTCCAAAATTGAACGCAAAAAGGTTGATTTTCAATATTCATAGAATGTTTTAATATACTTAAAATTTGATAAGTGAGATTTTGTTTCTCTTTAAACCACTACTTATATATTTTTTTATGATTTTTTTAATTAAAATTTATTTAAATTTATAAATATATTATTTTTTACAATTATTATAGACAAAAATTGTAAAAATATTTTCAAAAAATATGAAAATTTGTAGTAATAAAAATAAACTCGATTAATTAAATTAAATGTTTTATTTTATTTTATTTTAAATTACTGTGCAACCAAATTGGGTCAAATGCTTATTTTTCAGGAGAAGAGAAAATATTATATTTTTTATTAAAAATTGTCATGCAATGAATGCACGTGTAAAATCTCTATATAAAAATTGTAAATAGAGAATTTTGATTGGACATAATGTATTTTACTCCTTATATATTATATTATTTGTCTTTCTTTTGAAAAGAGAAAGAGTTTCATCCAATAATACAGTAAGTAAAGGTACATGTCCTTCTTCTTCAAACCAGATGACAAATGTTTATTACACACTTATAAATATCAATATAATATTTTTTTTCATATATAAAAGAAAATCATCCTTTGTAAAAAAAAAATAGAGACAATAATTAATT